TTCATTTGATTTGTTTTATTGTCCCATACAGGAATATATATGGTTTCGGGGTGGGGATCTTGACCGTTTACAAGTTTCAAAAAGAAGGGGGTGGGGGTGACCCCCTGGACTTCCCCTATATTTCATTTGATTTGTTTTATTATCCCATACAAGAATATATGTGGTTAAGGGGTGGGGATTTTGACCGTTAACAAGTTCTCAAACAGGAGGGGGTGGGGGTGACCCCAGGGGATTCGCCTTTTATTTCATTTGATTTGTTTTATTGTTCCATACAAGAATATATTTGGTTTCAGGGTGGGGATCTTGACCTTTTACAAGATAAAAGCACATTCTCAAATTGAAGGGGTGGGGGTAAGAATATATATGGTTTAGGGAGACTTAATTATCTACAAAATGTCTAATAATGAACAGTAAATTTCAAACTTCATTTATACAGCCCTTCTAGTAAATTTCAAACTTTATATATACAGTCCTACAGTTCTTATCAGGAAACAGAAAATTTTCAAATAAAACTGTCACTCCAATGATTATCATATGCTAAGATATTTCCCAGATCTAAGTAATAATGAAAATCATACTTGCAAATCTGAAGGGTTATTCTTTTGAACAGAACTATGGTTTAACATAGTACTCTAACATTACATATATAATAATTAATAATGTAATTAACTTCAAAATGTCTAATAATATAGCTTATAATCATCACCACTTAGGAAATAGAAAATTTTCAAATAAATCTGTCACTCCAATTTTAATTTTGAGATAAGACATTTACTATTCTTAGTCATGATATGATAGCAAGAGAAAACTATTTAAAAATACCACTTTTGGATATTAAAAATGGCGATAACTCAAAAAGGATAAATACTAAAATAGTGAAAATTGAACTAGACCTTCATTTAGTCACAAGAAACAACATATCTAAATTTGAAAAAAAAATCATTACAGCATTTTCATTTTATTGAAGAGACACTGTTTGGCAGCCGCCCGTCCGCCCGCCCGCCCACCGTACATCCCCAAATCAATAACCGATATTTCCTTTGAAAATCCGGTTAAAAACCCACTGTTTTGCCACAATACTTAAGTACGAGTAATTCCAGACTCATTTCCGAGATTTGTTTTGTTTATCAAATTGACAGGAATTCACCGGCTTTTAAATTTTTTACCTTTAAAAGTGTTTGAATATTACAGATAAAAGTTGCATTTGTTTTATTTTGTATGAAATCATTTTGCATTTTACGATTAAGTGTCTAATCTGCTGAAGAGAATTTCACGCATGCGTATTACATAGTAAATAAAGCATGTGTGTTACTCGTGAAAAATTACCTATTTCTACGTAAATTCAATTAAGTTTTAATTTTTAAACCAGAATTGACGATTGTCTTTGCTGAAAAGTAATTAAATAATGAAGACAGTTGTCATGGAATCTTAATTTCTTTATAATATTAGTTCTGAGCTTGTGATCCATGTCAGGACTCATGTGTGAATTAAAAACACAGGTAAAAAGAGATTGGCGATCATTAGCCAATAATTCCCGGAGGCATTAATATAGTTATCTAGAGGGCCCTCAGGATTATAATACAATTCTGGAGTGGCAGTTTTATTACAGGAAAGGATAACAAAACAAAAACAAGTGCAAAATGGCGATTAAGAAACCCAATCTCAACGAAATGACCGAAATTATTTCTGTAAAAAACGAAAATTTGTCCTAAATCCCAATTTGTTGTTTAGGACAAATCGATTACAGATTCGGTCATGTCTGGCAAATATGACTGTTTCCGGACCCTTGCATTGCACATATTTTATCTATCCAACGTACAAGGGCAATAACTAAAAAAGGCACTTTTTTTTCGTTCTTTAAAACTTTTTATTAATATCTTAGAGAAATGAAGGCTTCAGAGCAAATGCAATGTGATTTCCATTATAATTAATATTTCCAAGGGAAACACACTTGTTAAAAATATTAAAATTAAAGACATTGATGATATAAACCTATTATATAAATTTCATAAAAATCTGGCAAGAATTGTACACATTAGAGTGCTCATAAGGCAAATTTCAATATAATTAATGTTTCCAAGGGACATAACTCTTTTTAAAATTATTGATCGGCACTGATTTTTAGACTCGTCAAAGACATTGCTGATATAAACCTATAATATACGTTTCATAAAAATCTGGTAAGAATTGAATACATGAGAGCGCTAACGATGTAATTTTCCTTATAATTAATGTTTCCAAGTGGCATAACTCTTTTGAAAATAAAATGCTTCGCTGAGCGCAGCTGGATACGACCGCAGAGGTCCAACCCTGAACAGTTGGGGCAAAAATGGACACAATATTCACGCTTGATACAGGTCTGAATTTGGATTGTAATTAAATATTTGACACATAATAGGTTTCTGACACAGAATAACTATAGTCAAAGAACTTAGAATTGATTATATGATTTGAATTTATATTCAATTTTTTGCTTTTGTGCAATACACTATGCTGTTGCGAATTGACCCCCCCCCCCCATGATTTGAATTTATATTCAATTTTTTGCTTTTGTGCAATACACTATGCTGTTGCGAATTGACCCCCCCCCCCCCCCCCCCAAAAAAAAAAAAAATTAACCCCCCTTAATTCTTGCTTTTGTGAAATACACTATGCTGTTGCTTATTGACCCCCCCCCCCCCCCCCCCCCAAAAAAAAAAAAAAAAATTTTGTTTAAAGGGAGTGTATGGATCCCTCTGAAATTATACCACAAGTTTCCATACCACAAAGGGATGGTTAGGATTGGCTTTGGGGGGTTATGGCTCAAACCGTTTAGGAATTAGGGACAAAAAAGGGGAAAAAACAAGGGTTTCCTGGTTAATGGACAATATAAAAGCAGTTTAAGGGAGGTAATCCAACATTGTACAATGTTTTTGGATTACCTAATTGTCCCTAATTCCTAAACGGTTTGAGCCATAACCCCCCAAAGCCAATCCTAACCATCCCTTTGTGGTATGGAAACTTGTGGTATAATTTCAGAGAGATCCATACACTTAAACACAAGTTATTGTCTGGAATTTACAAAAATGCTTATTTTTGGCCCCTTTTTCCTTAATAACTGTTGGTACCATAACCCCCAAAATCAATCCCAACCTTCCTTTTGTGGTATTGAACCTTATGGTAAAATTTCATAGAGATCCATTCACTTAAACTAAAGTTATTGTGCGAAAACAAATGTGTCATCAGACGACGACGCCAACATCATACCAATATACGACTGCAAAATTTGTTTGCAGTCGTATAAAAATTGATCGGCACCGATTTTAGAACTTGTCCAAGACATTGCTGATATAAACCTATGATATAAGTTTCATAAAAATCTGCCAAGAATTGTATATGTGAGAGCAAGACCGGATGGACTGACGCCCGGTATTTCTATGTCCCCCTTAACGCGTTGCAAAGGGGACAAAAACTAAAGAATAAGCAACTTAATCCTTCTAAAAACCAGGAGGTGATCTCAGGTGCTCCAAAAGGGTAAGCAAAAAAAAATTGCAACTTAACTAAATCAAAATCTTGTATGACAGTTGTTATAGTACTGTTATATTGACAATATTGAGTGAGCAACCCAAACAGATATAATAGGTTACTGTGACAATAATTGGGATCCAGCAGTCAAAACTGTGTAAACATACATCAAAGACATACAACACAACTGACTAAAAAATTCAAACAAACATACAAATTAATCAATTAAACAAAGACGCCAACAAAAAAGGTGCTGTAGATTGTAAATTTAGTATATGACACACCCCAAGCCTATGATGCAACTGCTTATAAAAATAAGGAGATGTGGTATGATTGCCAATGAGACAACTATCCACCAAAGTTCAAATGAAGTGGATGTTAGCAATTATAGGCAAAAACATCAAACAACAAGCATTCTGAGAGTATTGCATGGCAATACATAGTCCCCTACCGGTTAAAAATTAATTGTACTGGAACAAAATGCTAACTTGATCTATAACTTGTCATGCTGTAAACTATATAACAAATATCAAGTCTATATCTTCAAGCATGATGAAAAAAAGTGTGGAAAACTGATTATTTACATTAAGTGAATTTTCTAAGTCCAAGGACCATAACTCTGCACAAAATCATCAGACCGGAACAAAATTCGAACTTGATCTGTAACTTGTCATGATAAACCAATGAACCAATTATCAAATCAATATCTTCAAGCATGACGAAAAAAAGTGTGGAAAACTGATTATTTGAGTAAATTTTCTAAGTCCAAGGACCATAACTCTGCACAAAATCATCAGACCGGAACAAAATTCGAACTTGATTTGTAACTTGTCATGATAAAACAATATACCAAATATCAAAGCGATATCTTCAAGCACGAAGAAAAAAAGTGCGGAAAACTGATTTGCCAGACTGACGGATGGACAGACATTCAGACGGAGTGCAAACCTAAAGTCCCCTTCGACTTCGTCGGTAGGACCTAAAACACAGACAGCACAGGGCAGGGTATATATCCATCCCTCATCCCTAACAACAAAAAGGACACTAAGTACAGAACTGAGAGTACACGACCAAGTTTTGTTCACTTAAGTTTAAAGTTATGAGCCGGACACAAATTGGATAAGGTTTTACTATCATAGTGGTCAACGGTCAAAACCAAGGTCAGAGTGACCTGACTTTAGTATTATGTGACACATCCTAATCTTATAATGCAACTGCATACTAAGTATCGTCATCCTAAGTTTTACAGTACAAAAATTACGAGCCAGACACGAATTGTACAAGGTTTTACTATTATAGGGGTCAAAGGTCAAATTCAAAGTTAGAGTGACCTGACTTTGGTATATGCACACACCTAGCCCATGATGCAACTGTATACCAAGTTTGGTTAACCCAAGTCTTAGGGTAAAAAAGTTATGCACTGGACACGAAGAGGAACGGACAGACAGACAGACATGGTGATTAGGATGTCTTACGTTTGTAGAAAATATATATACCTAAATTTGTCTATGGTAGATACAGCTCTTTTCATCTTCTTTGTCACTTCTGCATCAGTTGGGGTTTCTCTCATGAAAGCTGGTAGTCGTTGTCGGACTGTAAATTATGAAATATTTTTATCAATGCAAAGAACCCTTGTTTGTTTTCTATCTCTCTCACTCAATACACATACATTTATACATACTATTTGCTATTTATACTATTTTTTTACAGTCTTCTGGGACTTACCTAGTCAGTAGACTGTTGGCCATTTCAAAGATGGCTAGGCTAATTTTTTTTTACATTGGAAACATAGGATGTCTGTGGTATTTTCAGATATAGTATAAATACACCTACCTTAACATTTGTTTAAATTTCCTTTTCATGATTTTTCAAAACAAAGAGTTGTATAACTACCTGTCTGTTGGTCAAACAATACATTTTCCCAAACAATCTAAATTTGCACAAAAAGTTCATCATGAATCTGTATAACAGTCTCAAAAGTAAGACAAATCATCAGATTTCTTAAAACTTCAACAGCTTATGTGGTTAACATAATGATAGAAAAAGACACAAAAATCAAGTTTTCAGTGTTATCATTTGTCAAAGTAAATTGATGTAGATTTTACTTGAAGGCATACACAGGAATGTAGGATTGATATATGTCTTGCTTCAGCCACAAAATGTTGCAGGATCAACAGAAACAAGAGGCTGTCAGAGTGACAGCAAACCGGATTTTCCTGCAGTAGTCGAACCCTGAACAGTTGAGCAAGTATGGACATAATATTTAAGCTTAAAACAGCTCTTAATTTGGATTGTGATTGAATATTTGACACAGCATAGGTTTGTGACACAAAATGAATGTGGTCAAAGAACTGAAAAATTTGAAAACGGACATTTACCTATTATGGTCCAATATCCAAAATCTAAGTACATTGTTAGAATCAGCATATCAAAGAACGCCAAGAATTCAATTTTTGATGAAATCAAACAACACCTTAATTTAGGACTTCAATGTGGTATTATCTAATTAATAATGAAAATAAATACAGGTTTAGATTCAGCATTTCAAAGAACCATATATATATTCAATTTATGTTGAAATCAAACACAGTATAATTTTGGACCCCAATTTGGACCAACTTGAAAACTGGGCCCAAAATCAGAAATCTAAATATATGTTTATTAATAGACAAACTAAGCTTAGTTTTTAAAGGAGTTCGCTTCATCAAAAAAAAAATATAGCATTCATAAAATAAGTTTATACAGAATAACAAAACAAACTTATCAAAAAATTCTTCAAACAATTTACCAAAGAAAAGAAGAAAAAAAATCCAAAATGTCATTTGTCATTAATACAATATCTATTAAAAATCTATAAAACTTATCTGTATCTTCAAAATGTCTAATAATGAACAGTAAATTTCAAACTTTATTTATACTGTCCTACAGATCTTATCATCATCAACACTTAGGAAACAGAAAATTTTCAAATAAATCTGTCACTCCAATTAAAAAGAAACTAAGGTTTCAACTCCCTCAGGCAAAGTTGACCTTAGATAGATTTGGCTATTTGTTTTAGGTATTTTTGTCATATAGCTCTTCAACTGTTTCGGTACTTATACATCCCTCGGATTTCAAATGTTTGGCTTTGAGCGTTCCTGATGAAGGTAAATCCAGAAAAGCGCTTCGGACGCATGAAATTATTAAACGTGTTGTTTTCAATTTTTTATAATTATGTGATAACATATTTACCAGATGCTTTGTTATCTAATAACAGGTGAAAATAAATTGCTTCGCCGAGCGCTTCTGAATATGACCGCAGAGGGACATAACTCTTTTTAAAATTATTGGTCGGCACTGATTTTTGAACTCTTCAAAGACATTGCTGATATAAACCTATAATATAAGTTTAATAAAAATCTGGTAAGAATTGAACACATGAGAGCGCCAACGATGTAATTTTCCTTATAATTAATGTTTCCAAGGGGCATAACTCTTTTGAAAATAAAATGCTTCGCTGAGCGCAGCTGGATACGATGGTAGAGGTCCAACCCTGAACAGTTGGGGCAAAAATGGACACAATATTTGCGCTTGATACAGGTCTGAATTTGGATTGTAATTCAATATTTGACACATAATAGGTTTCTGACACAGAATAACTGTAGTCAAAAAACTTAGAATTGGTTATATGATTTGAATTTATATTCAATTTTTTACTTTCGTGCAATACACAAAAATAAAAAAATTTGAAGGATTTTCTTTTTGATTTCTGAAATCTTGAGGAGAAAAAGTTGTCCCCCCCACCCCCCACCACCAATTCCCCCCCCTTTTACCAAAAAAAAATTCTTTCCCTCAGTCATGGTCATAATTTCAATTCAAATTTCCAATGGAGTTTGCAACCATAATAACCCATTTAAATACATCATAAAAGTCTTAAAATAGAAAATGACATACATAATCATAGCTAAAATTAATTTACCTTAATCAGCATTTTTAAAATTATTAAAATAGTAACTACTAAAAATGAATTGACAGCTAATCACCTCAAAACAATACAAAAATTCTTTATACATAATTTGAAAGCAGTTTAAGGGAGGTAATTCAAAGTTGTGTTTGAATTACCTCCCTTACACTGTAATTTGTACTTTAGTAATTGTCCATTAATCAGGACACGCTTTTTTTTTTCTCACTTTTTTGCCCCTAATTCCTAAATGATTTGAACCATAACCCCCCAAAGCCAATCCTTACCACCCCTTTGTGGTATGGAAACTTGTGGTATAATTTCAGAGAGATTGTTCCACAAGTTATTGTCATGAAACTAGAAAAATGCTTATTTGGGCTCCTTTTTGGCCCCTAATTCCTAAACTGTTGGGACCATAACCCCCAAAATCAATCCCAACCTTCCTTTTGTGGTTATAAACCTTATGTTTAAATTTCATAGATTTCTATATACTAATACTAAAGATATTGGCTGGAAACCAAATGTTTTCGGACGACGACGATGTAATACCAATATACGACCGTATAATTTTTTGCGGTCATATAAAAATTCAAACAAATGCACACGACTTACAAACTAGTAATCACGACTTTCAACCTGGTGTGCATGAGTTTCAAAGTTGTGCGCATGACCGTGAGGGCATTCCGTTGTATTGCTGTCGCCTAGATTTCCATTACGTAACTTTCGTGTTGGGATTGTAACCGATCTATAAACATGATAAATACGTGGACATTATCGAGTGCAAAATAACATTCCTTATCGCTTGTTATAAATTCATTTTTTCAATGGATACTCCCAAAAATTTATTTTTTTTAGAACATAAATTAATAATATGAAATGTTTTGTCGTTAGAAACATATATACAAGTAACAAATCTTTAATATCTATGCACACATACAGAAAATGTGTGTTAATGCATGCGGAAGAATATCTCAAGAACGTTTGCAATCTCCCATGCAGAGTTATCGGTCCCCGCTCTCTCTCAAGGACCGATAACTCTGCATGGGAGATTGAAAGTTTGGCGGGAAAATATGAATGCCTACTCAAATCCAATCTATTAGAAAAATCGAATTATTACAGAAGAGTTTCCACCATGCACTTGCACTGCACTATTATTAATATAGTAGAATAGAATGATATGCAAATGGATGAAAATTATAAACACAGTCATGTAACTGTAATATACAAATATCAATATAATATATACGACAAACCAGAGTATACTGATTTGTATCACTTCAATATCATATTTATTACGGTGAGATTGAATTCCCTGTCATTTATTTATCATCCACGCATGAAATTGTCTGAGAAAAAAAAATTATATCTGTACATTAACCTCACTTTCAGGTATAGAGATGTGATTTTTTTTTCTGAGACAAGTGCTTGTGACCATCCACAAGAACTTGCAGTCATCCGATGTTCAGTACTTCAGTACTTTGATTGAAAGTTGTGAGCACAAGCGCACCAGTTTGAAAGTCATGCACACAAGTTTCAAAGTCGTGTGAACAAGTTTCAAAGTTGTGTGCACTATTTTTCAAACTGATGGGCACGAGATTAAATCTCAGGCAAACGAAAATATTTATATTTACATGGTACTTAAGGGGCTCCATAATTATGCTTTACTATACTGACTGTATTATCAACTACACAAACGTTTTTGTTAGTTTCTTTGTTTGATTTAATTGTAAGTGTGTTGGAAAGTCAAAATCAGTTGTGTTGTATGTCTGTGATGTATGTTTACACAGTTTGGCTGCTGGATCCCAGATATGGCCACGTTAACCAATTATATCTGTTTAGGTTGCTCACCCAATTTGGCAAAATTACAGAACATTTAATAACTGTCATATAAGTGGACATATTAGCAAGCTAGAAAACCAGATTTAACCCACCATTTTCTTTGGAAAATGTCTGTGCCAAATCAGGAATATGACAGTTGTTTTCCTGCATTTATTTTTCAAACAATTTTTCCATTTTTTATAAAATCAACAATTTTTGTTTTATATATATGACTGTGCATAAAAATTGGTGGAAATCAGATGAGACAATCTTAACTTTCAAACGACGTAAAATTTATGCAGGACGGACAGACAGACTTATATTGTTATAAGAAAACTAGTCGGTGTGGTATTATCAAATAATCAGATCCAATGGCATTGAACATAGCCCTATTCACAAACAAAAGTGAAGCGGAATAAGTCATACAAATCCAATCTTTTGTTATACTAATTACAATATAAATTATCATGTGTTTAAAGAAATATTTGATAGTTTTCGTGGATTTTTGCAATAACTAATAAGCAGCAACAGATCTTTTTAAGATCCTTTTCACGATCATCAAAATGCGGTACCCGATCTTTCACGATCCGAAATATCAAATTTAAAAAAAAATTACCATCTATGCAAAGTTTCTGATTAAACTAAAACAACATAACTTTAAGAACTATTTTAAACAGTAATACTGAACGATATTTTTTAAGAGAAAAGTAGTTTATGCATTAAAAATTTGAAAAACATTATGTTTGTTAACATTTTTATTTCTTTGAAATTTCGAAGAGCAATTTTTCTCGGATACTGATCATAATGTTGAACCATTTTGACAGACAGTTTTATT